TTTCTCCCAGTCTATGGTTTGTTTTTCACTTCGTTTATGGAATCTTTTACTGAACAGAAATTTTAAGATGTAAATGTAGCCAAGTTTAACTATGTTTTTCTTTTTCCTGAGACAGAGTCTCACTCTGTCGCTCAGACTAGAGTGCAGTGGTGTGATCTAGGCTCACTGCAGCTACAACCTTTCCAGGCTCAGGTAATCCTCCCACCTTAACCTAACAAGTAGCCGAGACTACAGGCACACGCCACCATCCCTGACTGATTTTTGGTGCATTTTTTGTAGAGACAGTGTTTCACCATGTTGCTCAGGCTGGTCTCAAACTCCTTTGCTCAAATGTGAGCCTCTGTGCCCAGCCTATCAATCTTTTTATTTATAGTTTGTGCTTTCCTATGCCCAAGGTTGTAAACAGATTCTTATATTTCATTTTAAAACTTTTAAAGTTTTGCTTTTCACATTTAAGTGTTTGTTTCAACTTAAATTTTTGTTTGTGTATGGTGTGAAGTGGGGTCTGCTTTTTCCTCTATGAATAAGTAGCATCTTACCCATTTATTAAACTCTTCCCCAAAAGTTTTTAATTCATGCCAACGTGTCATGTATATATGAGGCTATTTGTCAACTTTGTATTCTGGACCACAGGTATGTTTGCCCCTTCCTGTTTAACCATACTCTCTTAATAACGATAGCTTTACAATAAGTCTTTATAAGGCCGGGCGTGGTGGCTCAAGCCTGTAATCCCAGCGCTTTGGGAGGCCGAGGTGGGTGGATCACGAGGTCAAGAGATAGAGACCATCCTGGTCAACATGGTGAAACCCTGTCTCTACTAAAAATACAAAAAATTAGCTGGGCATGGTGGCACGTGCCTGTAATCCCAGCTACTCAGGAGGTTGAGGCAGAAGAATTGCCTGAACCCAGGAGGCGGAGGTTGCGGTGAGCCGAGATCACGCCATTGCACTCCAGCCTGCGTAACAAGAGCGAAACTCCGTCTCAAAAAAATAAATAAATAAATAAATAATAATAATAATAATAATAAATAAGTCTTTATAAGGCAAGTCCTCCCACCTGTGCTTATTCTTCAAATTTATCTTGGCTATATTTGACCATTTTGCCTACTGCATCCCCACCCAAGTTTCATCTTGAATTGTAATTCCCAAAATCCCCAAATGTCAGGGGAAAGACCCAGTGGGAGGTAATTAGTCATGGGGGTGGTTACCCCATGCTGCTGTTCTCGTGATAGTGAGTGATTTCTCACAAGATCTGATGGTTTTGTAAGTGGTGTTTCCCCTTTTTGATGAGCACTTCTCCTTCCTGCTGTCATGTTACAATGGACATGTTTGCTTCCCCTTCCACCATGATTGTAAGTTTCCTGAGGCCTCCCCAGCCATACAGAGCTGTGAGTTGATTAAACCTCTTTCCTTTATAAATTACCCAGTCTCAGGCAGTCTTTTATAGCAGCGTGAGAAAGGACTAATATACCTACCATGTGAATTTTTTTAGTTTCAATTTTTAATTTTGGAAGGTATGTAGTAGGTGTATATATTTATGGATTACATGAGATGTTTTGATATAGGCATGCAATGTGGAAAAAGCACATCAGGCTAAACGGTGTATTCATCACCTCAAGCATTTATCCTTGTGTTACAAGCAATCCAGTTATATTCTTTGTTATTTTAAAATGTCTAATTAAATTATTTTTGACTATGGTCACTCTGTTGAGCTAGTAAATACTAGATCTTATTCATTATTTCTAAATATTTTTGTACCCATTAGCCCTCCCCTACTGCCCCCCACCCCAACTATCCTTCCCTGCCTCTGTTAACCATCCTTCTACTCTCTCTCTAAGTTCAATTGTTTTAATTTTTAGCTGCCACAAATAAATGAGAACATGTGAAGTTTGTCTTTCTGTGCCTGATTTATTTCACTTAGCATAATGACTTTTAGTTCCATCCATGTTGTTGCAAATGGGAGGATCTTATTCTTTTTTATGGCTAAATAGTACTCCCTTGTGTATATGTACCACATTTTCTTTATCTGTTTACCTGTCTATAGACACTTAGGTTGCTTTCAAGTCTGGCTATTGTGAATAGTGCTGCAATAAACATGGGAGTGCAGATATCTCTTCCATATAATGATTTCCATTCTTTTGGGTATATATCTAGAAGGAAGATTGCTGTATCTTAAGGTAGCTGTATTTTTAGGTTTTTGAGGAACCTCCAAACTGTCCTCCATAGTAGTTGTACTAATTTACATTTCCACCAAGAGTATATGAGGGTTCCCTTTTCTCCATATCCTTTCCAGCATTTGTTTTTGTCTGACTTTTGGATAAAAGTCATTTTAACTGGGGTGAGATAATATCTCATTGTAGTTTTGATTTGCATTTCTCTGATGATCAGTGATGTAGAACACATTTTCATATGCCCGTTTGCCATTTGTATGCAATTTTTGAGAAATGGCTATTCAAATCTTTGCCCACTTTTGAATTGGATTATTAGATTTTTTCCTATAGAGTTGTTTGAACTCCTTATGTATTCTTGTTATTAAGCCCTTGGCAAATGGGTAGTTTAAATATTTTCTCCCATTCTGTAGGTTGTCTCTTTACTATGTTGATTGTTTCCTTTGCTGTGCAGAAAGAAACCTTTTAACTTGATGTGATCCCATTTGTCCATTTTTGCTTCAGTTGCCTGTGCCTGTAGGGTATTACTCAAGAAATCTTTGCCCATTTCGGTGTCCTAGAAAGTTTCCGCAATGTTTTCTTTAAGTAGTTTCATTGTTTGAGGTCTTAAATTTAAGTCTTTAATCCATCTCAATTTGATTTTTGTATATGGTGAGAAATAGAGGAGTCTAGTTTCATTCTTTCACATTTGAATATCCAGTTTCCAGCACCATTTATTGAAGAGACTGTTTTTTCCCCAATATATGTTCTTGGCAGTTTTGTAAAAAAATGAATTCACTGTAGATGTATAGATTTATCTCTAGGTTCTCTGTTCTGTTCCATTGGTCTATGTGTCTGCATTTATGCCAGTACCATGCCATTTTGGTTACTATAGCTCTGTAGTGTAAGTTGAAGTCAGGTAATGTGATTTTTCCAGTTTTGTTCCTTTTGCTTAAGATAGCTTTGGTTATTCTGGGCCTTTTGTGATTCTATATAAATTTTAGAATTTTTTTCAATTTTTGTGAAGAATGTCATCAGTATTTTGATAGGGCTTGAACTGAATCTATAGATTGCTTTAGGTGGTATGGGCATTTTAACAATATTAATTCTTCTAGTTCATGAACATGGAATATCTTTCCTTTTATTATATCTTCAATTTCTTACATCAATGTTTTATACTTTTATTGTGGAGATCTTTCACTTCTTTGGTTAAGTTAATTTCTAGGTATTTTATCTTACTTGTAACTATTGTAAATGGCATTATTGTCTTGATTTCTTTTTAAGATTGTTTGCTTTTGGCCTATAGAAACAGTACTGATTTTGGTACGTTGATTTTGTATCTTGCAACTTTACTGAATCTGCTTATCCATTCATTTTTTTAAATATGAATAACACTGTGTTTTTATTATATCAAGGTATGTTTCTTCTGTAAACTAAAAATACAATTCTAAGCACCCCACCACCACCACCACCAACAACCACCTGAATGAACCTCTCATTTTGACCAAGAGCATTCCAAAGTTAACCTGAAAAACTGGTTCAGAACATGATGGGAAGGGAGGGGTCAGATACACCTCATTATATCCTTCTCCCTTTCAGAATTCAGGAAAGGCCAAACAGCATTAACATCAACACAGACTGATAAGAAGTCTGATAAGAAAGACTTAATCTATTATCTCTAAAGCCAGCTATCTGGAGGCTTCATCTGCATGATAAATCTTTGGTCTCCACAACCCCTTATTATTGTAATGCAGATATTCCTTTCTATTGATTCCAGGTCTTTAGATAATAATAACTCTTTCAACCAATTGCCAATCAGAAAATTGTTTAATCTTCCTATAACCTGGTAGCCTGTGCTTCAAGCTCTCCCACCTTTCCAGACCAAACCAATGTATGCATTACAGGCATTTATTGATGTATTATGTCTCCCTAAAAGAGATAAAAGCAGACCATGCCACAACTACCTTGGGCCCATATCATCAGCACCTCCTGAAGCTGTGTTATGGGTGCATTCTTTTTTTTTTTTTTTAAATGGCCTTTATAATGTGTAGTTTTAATACTTGGTTTACAAGGTTTACAACTAAATATATTGTGAAAATTTTCTCTTTTACGATAGTTAAAAGAATTGCATAGCTTGGAGAAAACAACTTATTTTGCAATCTTGTTGGGGACATTGAGGTATAATTTTTTTTTCCTAAGGAGACTTCATTCTTCTTACAATGCCTTTGGGGAAAAAAGGGGAGTCCTTGTCTTATATAGCTTTCTATAGATGATGGAAACTTGCCCTTCCATTTAACCTTTTAACTTGCTTCTCTACGCCTATCTAATCACCAATTAAGTAACTCATTTTATGTTTTCCAACCTCTCTCCCTCACTGGCTTCCTCCTTCCTACCCAGTCTCCCTGCACACATGCAGATGGACTTTCCTTCCTTCAGCACTCTGGTTCCTCCCCTTAAAGAGGCTTTCTTTCCTTTTAAAGAGACTATTTTAATTGATTTTATCAACTCTACTCAAATCTATATCCTAAGGTCCATATTAGGATTAGTCTTTAATAATCTGAAGAGATAATTCAATTGTTTAAAAGAACATATGAAGAAGGCCTTGGTAGAATTGCCGTATCAAGAAACACCGGACTTAGGCACAATGGAGATATGGCTGACTTTCTTCTGAAAAAAGAAGTCGTTTTTTCGGGGGAAGATGGGGCAAAGAGGTAAGAAGTAGTTGGTTCTGTAAGGAAACACTAGAGACCATTTTAGAAATGTATTCATTATTTTAAGACAACTAACAAATGATCATCTTTCAGATAGGACATTGTAGCAGCAGCCTTTACTGGTCATGAAATTTGCCTAATATCTAAAATCGTATTTCTGGAAATAGGTCAATGTCAATTAATAGTAACTGTATAGAAAGGCAGATGCCAGCTAGCATCAAAGGGGTACATGCAGACGGTGGTAGTTCTGGAGTCCTGGAAGCCATGAGGTGCTCATCCATCACAAGGCCATCGCAGCCAGGTAGGAAAGTCTGAGGAAAGCAGCGGAGCTGGCCGTGCCAGCATTTACACAAGGAACACTTCTTGGGAAGCCAGGTGTCATGGGGCACAGACCCACAGTTCTTTTTGCGCACATCATGCTTACAGTTCCGTCCATAGAAGGAAGGTGGGCAGGCACAAAAGGACCCCAGCATGCAGGTGCCCCCATTCAGGTAGCAGGTTCTGTTTAGCTCCTTACTGTGCTGTAACCCCACAGGTGGCACAAGCTTGGAAGACCGAGGGCAAATGGCAGGCTCCTCCTGGGGCCGAATGCTGTCATCTCTGAAGGCCAGGTCTCCCTGAGATGGACCTATGGGTGCATTCTTAACCTTGGCAAAATAAACTTCCTAAATTGATTGAGACTGGTCTCAGATACTTTTGGGTTCACATTTCTGTACCCAGTTTTATGAGAATTTTTATCATGAAGGGATGTTGCATTTTATCAGTTGCTTTTTCAGCATCAATTGAAATGATCATATGGTTTTTATTCTTTATTCTGTTGATATGATGTGTCATATTGATTGATTTGTATATGTTGAACTATCATTGCATCCCTGGGATAAATTCCATTTGGCCATGATAAATGTTCTTGGTTGTTGTTGTTGTTATTGTTGTTGTTGTTGCTGTTTTTAGCTATCTCCTACATGAAGGATATCTTTTTGTAAGATGTGTTGTTGAGTTTGGTTTGCTGGTATTTTGTACAGAATTTTTGCATCAATATTCATCAGTGATATTGGCCTATAGTGTTTTTCCCCCCTTTTTTGATGTTTCTTGGAGTGGTTTAGTATCAGGGTAATATTGGTCTCATAGGACGAACTTAAAAGTATTCTCTCCTCCTCTACTTTTCCAAAATGTTTGAGGAGGATTGGTATTAGTTCTTCTTTAAATGTCTGGTGGAATTCAGCAGTGAAGCCATCAGGTCCCAGGTTTCTCTTTGCCTGGAGACACTGGTCTGTTCAGGTTTTGGATTTCTTGATGGTTCAATTTTGGTAGCTTGTATGTGTCTAGGAATGTATTCATTTCTTCTAGAGTTTCCAATTTATTGGCATATATTGATTGTTCCTCATAGTAGCCACTAAATGAGCCTTTGAATTTCTGTGGTATAAGTTGTAACATCTCCATTTTCATCTCCTATTTTATTTATTGGAGTCTTCTCTCTTTTTTTCTTAGTCTGGCTACAGATTTGACAATTTTGTTTATCTTTTCAAAAAGCCAAATTTTTGTTTCATTAATTTTTGTATTTTCTTTTCATTTTAAGTTCATTTATTTTTGCTTTGATCTTTATTATTTCTTTCTTTTACTTATTTGGGTTTGGTTTGCTCCTGATTTTCTAGTTCTTTAGGATGTATTTGAAGTTTTCTTCTTCCATAATGTAGGCACTTACAGCTGGGAACTTCTGTCTTCATAATGCTTTTGCTGTATCCCACAGGTTTTTGTATGTTGTATCGCCATTATCATTTGTTTCAAGAAAATTTTCAATTTCCTTCTTAATATCTTTATTGACCCACTGGTCATTCAGAAGTATATTGCTTAATTTCCATGTGGTTGTATAGCTTATGTAGTTCATATATCTGGGTACTCCACTATTGGGTGCATATATATTTACTATATCCTTTTGCTGAATTGACTCCTTTATCATTACAGTGGCCTTTGCCTCTTACAGTTTTTGTTTTGAAATCTATTTTGTCTGATATAAATATAGCTACTCCTGTTCTATCTGGTTTCCATTGGCATGGAATATAACCCTTTGTTTTCAGTCTATGTGTGTCTTTATAGGTAAAGTGTGTTTCTTGTCGGCAACAGATCATTGGGTCTTCTTTTTTTTAATCTCTTCAGTCATTCCATGTCTTTTGATTGGAGAGTCTAATTTATATTCAATATTATTATTGATAAGTAAGGACTGACTCCTACCATTTTGTTATTTGCTTTCTGGTTGTTTTGTGGTCTTCTCTTCCTTCTTTTCTTAAGATGAATAATAGTGATGAGGTTATTTTATTTTATTTAGTTAGTCATTTTAAATTATTTTTTAGTCTTGTATTAAGACAGGGTCTTACTATGTTGCTCAAGCTGGTCTGGAACTCCTGGCTTCAAGCAGTCTTCTTACCCTGGCCTCCTAAAGTGCTAGTATTACAGAGATGAGCCACCATACCTGGTCCTGATAGTATGATTTAATTTATTCCTTTTTATTTTTTGCATATACTTTGTATATTTTTATTTAAGGTTACCACGAGGCTTACAAATACTATCTTATAACCCATTATTTTAAGCTGATAACAACACTGTTTGCACAAGTAAACAACCAAACAAAAAGAAAACTAATAAAACTCTACACCTTAACTTCATCCCCTTGCTTTTTAACTTTTTGTTGTTTCTATCTTATTGTACTTTCTGTGTCTTGAAAAGTTGTAGTTATTATTTTGGATGAGTTCATCATTCAGTCTTTCTAATTAAGATAAGAATGGTTTATATACCACAGTTACAGTGTTGTAATACTCTGTGTTTTTCTGTGTACCTACTATTGGCAGTGAGGGTATAAAATACCCTCAGATGATTGCTTATCACTCATTAACATCTTTTTTTTTCTGATTGAAGTACTCCCTTTAACATTTCTTGTAGGACAGATCTGGTCTTGATGAAATCCCTCAGCTTTTGTTTGTCTGGGAAGGCATTTCTCCCTCATGTTTGAAGGATATTTTCACTGGATATACAATTCTAGGGTAAAAGTATTTTTCCTTCAGCTCTTCAAATATATCATACCACTCTCTCCTGGCCCGTAATACTGAACTTTACAAATACAGAGAAAGATATCAACATTTAAGTACAAGAAGGTTATAAAACACCAACAAGATTTAACCCAAAAAAGACTGCCTTAAGGCATTTTATAATCAAACTCCCAAGAGTCAATATTGGAGCTCTCAATTTTATGTTATTTCTTTATTTTCTCTTGCTACTTTTAGAATCTTTTCTTTATCCTTGACCTTTGGCAGTTTATTAAATGCCTTGAGGTAGTCTTCTTTGGGTTAAATCTTCTTGGTGTTCTATAGCCTTCTTGAACTTGGATATTGATATCTTGCTCTTAATTTGGGAAGTTCCCTGTCATTATCACTTCAAATAAACTTTCTCTTTTTTTTTTTTTTTTTTTTTGAGACGGAGTTTTGCATGGCATGATCTCAGCTCACCCCAACCTCTGCCTCCTGGGTTCAAGCGATTCTCCTGCATTAATGCCTAAGAGTTCTTCAGTCAACTTGTAGTAAATGCTGCCTAGCCTGGGACTTACCCTTTAGGGCAACACACTCCCCTCTGACTCAGGGTAGGCCTAGAAATGCCATCCAGAGGCCAAGACCTTGAACTGGGGACCCCAAGAGCCTGCTTGGCGCTCTACTCTCCTGTGGCTGAGCTGGTACATATGGAGCAAGACAAAGTCTGCTTTTCTTTTTCCTCCACTTTCCTCAAGCAGATTGAGTCTCTCCCCATAGCCACCATAGCTGAGAATGTGCTGAGTCTCACCCGAAGCCAGAATGTCTGAATTTCACCCACGGCCCAAAGTGTACTTCCTAGTAGCATTGTCAGTTATTCAGGGATCAAAAAGGCTCTTTAGTTAGCAGACAATGGATACTGCCAGGACTGGGTCTTTCCCTTCAAGGCAGCAGGCTTCCTTCTGGCCCAGGTGTGTCTAGAAATGTGATCCAGGAGCCTGGAAAGGGGGCCTCATTACTTTGACCATTGCCCTATTCTACTGTGGCTGAGCTGGTATCCGAGATGCAAGACAAAGTCCTCTTTACTCTTCCCTCTCCTCTCCTCAATGGAAGGAAGGGGCTGCTTTTGAAGCCATGAGCTGTGCAGCCTGGGAGTGTGGGTGGGGTGGCACAAGCACTCTCCTAGCCACCCCAGCTGGTGTTTCAGTAAGTGGCATGCCCCCCAAGCCCACTGGCTCTGAACCCAGATCATCACTAGGCCTCATCCAGGAGTTCCTTGTGGCCTAGGATGCCTTTCAAGTTTAGGGTCCCAGAACACTCCATCCCTAGGTGGTAAGGCTTGCCAGAACTAAAGTTCAGACTGCTAGGTGGGCAATTCCTCTCTTGCTAGGGCTGGTTTATATACTCCCTCTGTGGGCAGACATCAGCTGATATCAGCCTGGTTTTGCCTTCTGCTATGAGCGGGCAGAATTAAGTTTAATGTAATGTTTCACAATCGCTGCACTCACCCACTACCAAGTGTCCAGATTCCTTCTGTCACACAGCCACTGCCAGGTAAGGGAGGAAGGTTGGTGTCAGTAATTCAAAACTCTTTTTTACCCTCTTCAATACCCCTTTCAGTGATATGAAGTTTCAACCAGATTTGTGAGTGATCACCTAATTTTTGGTTCTTATGCAGGTGCTTTTTGTGTATAAATAGTTGTTACATTGGTGTCTTTATCAGGGGAATGATTGATGAAGTCTATTCAGCCATCTTAGTAAATTGCATTTTAAAACCTTTTGAAATTTTGACTGGAATTGCACTGGATATATGAAATAATTTAGAGATAATTTAAATCTTCAGTGTTTTAATTCATGGGAATGATATCTCTTTCCATGTATCTAGATATTTTATTTTTTATTTATGTTTCCTTTATTTATTTATTTTACAGATAGGGTCTTGCTCTGTCATCCAGGCTGTAGTGCAGTGGTACTATCATACCTCACTGCCTCCTTGAACTCCTGGCCTCATGCAATCCTTCTACCTCAGCCTCTCAAGTAGCTGGGACTACAAGAGCATGCCACCAAACCTGGCTAATTTATTTTTTTTTTTTTGTAGAGATGGAGGTCTCACTATGTTGTCCAGGCTGGTCTCAAATTCCTGGCCTCAAGTGATTCTCTTGTCTTGGCCCCTCAGAGCACTGGAATTATAGGTATAAACCACTGCACCTGGCTATACCTAGCTTTTCAATAATATGCTGTAGTTTTCTCCGTAAGAGTACTGAATATCTTTCATTAAATTTATTTCTAAGTACCTTATAATTTTATTGCTATTTTGAATGGAATATTGTTTCATATTATATTTCTAAATAATTATCATTGGGATATACTACAAATATTGATTTTAGGTTGATCTTATATCTAACAACCTTGTTAATCTTTCTTATCAGTTCTAAGACTTTGTGGATTCTCCAAAATATTCTATATAAACAAACTTAGCATCTACAAATAATGAGAGTTTTGAGTTGCACTTACAACTATTATACTTATTATTCAATCTTATTACATTGGATAAGATCTCCAGAATAATGCTGAATAAAAGCATTATGCCTAAAATGTATAAAACCAAGTTATG